GGTGACCTATCTTCAAATTTTGACCACGAATTTATTTTGCGGTGTATTTTATAAATTTCAAATTTTAAAAAAATCTGTAGTGTGGAAATTTCGCAATAAATTTTTCGCTTTTAAAAAAATCACACACTACAGAATTTTTTTAAACTTTCACCACAGTTGCAGAGCATCATTCCCTATTGATATATGAAATAAAAAAAGATAGGTCACCGACATCGTTTTTGAGATAGCGGCACATTTATGGGTTAAATTGGAAGGCTTTATGCTGTCGTCATGTTGCCATGGGAACATTGACATCGTCGAAATCTAGTTCGAAATATTTTTTAGGTGACCAATATTGCCACCAAGTCGAAAAGAATTCGCGTTCTGCACAAATAAGCCTGTTTTACGGAATTATTGCTTAAACAAGAATAACTGTAGGGAGCCACCTTAAAAGAGCCGTGTGAATCCATTACCGTTTGCTATGCTCTTGTATCCACGAAGGTAAAACTCTTATTGTGAGGTTGTCGACGTTTGGCGGACGACGAGCAAATTGAGAGAGACACATGCACACTTCAAAAACTATGACCAATTTACTTCTGCTTGCCGCCTTAAATATTTGACGTCGTAGATACTTGAGGTATCGACTTATTTGGGACAACGTCCTAGTCCAAGTCCTCTGCTTAGCCCCGACGTCCTAGCTGGCGTCGACGTCGTAGATCTTAAGTTATCTATTGTCTAGTGTCTAAAACGTTCTAAAACTTATTAGAAGAGATTTGGGAAGCTATATCTTTCAAGTTACATAGAAAAATACATTTGTTTGATAATGTAGCTAACTTAAACACTTCGCGGTGCGATCTGCAGAGATTTTGATTTTTGACAGACTTTATTAAAATCTCATCTCATGAATATACAGGTTTCTAAATTGGTTCATTGAATTCAAATGGTACTCAGTCCAGTCCTAGCTTTGTTCAGTTGTTCAGGCTGATTGTGATTAGGTCTGTTCATTGTTCTAAAAATCATGTCAGTTTACTGCGTTTTTTTCACTTAACTGGGTTACTGAATTTCTGCCTGATCGCTAAGTACCCCCCCCCCTCTCGAATAAGCATTCTTCAAACGTGCCAGAAATGAACAAGCCCACTCCTCCCCCTTGCTGGGAAAGGAATTATTGTTTTATCAGTAAATGTTACCTGAATCTACTTAAGGTCTTCACAACCGCTCAGAAGTTGAGATAAAGTTGGGACTTATCGGAGGAGTGCATGTTCCACCATCAGTAACACAACAGAACGGAAATGACAATGGTACTCCAAAATGGATCCCGGGTGCCACCACACTGCAAGGCGAGAGCGAACAGACCTTTGCCGAGAGTGCTCAATGTGATGATTTTGTGCCAGACCAAGAGAAATCCACAACCTTATATTTGAGGCTGGTGGCCAGGGCTGACGATAACCCACCAGTATCAAATGAAGATCAATGCATCCCATTAGCAAGAGAAACTCTCATTCCACCTCCTGTGGGAAACTGGTGAAAATGGACCACGACTTAGCAAAGAAGAATAGTAATAGTACATTCGAACTTGAATCTAGCTCTAGCAAAGCGTCCAAAGTTTCCATGATATTACAATATCACGGTACTTTTTTATTTTTTTACTAAGAACCGATCGCGATGTTAATCTGGAGAGTGTTCCAGTGGTAAAAACAGACACGCCTGCAGAGAAAACTATACAGTAAAACCCATGAGGGTCATCCCAAGGCCTCCCATTTTCCGAGCAGTTCTAGATACAAAATGGGTACTTGTAGAACTTGGCAGTCCTAAAATTGAGTTTTGGAGCTCTGTATGAGAATTCTATAGATTAAGAATTCATACAGGGATTTGATAAAACCAAAACCAAATGTTTCTCTGAAACTACACCATTTTGGACTTCAAAATTTTCTGGGAGAGTATGCGATCCGGATCCCCATAGGCATAGCTATTCAGGCATGCAAGATATCTCCCATAGCTATTCAGGTATAAGCTTCATGCAGCTCACAACTGTCCTTGTTGAAATCTAAAAATTGTTGAAATTTTAAATTTTTCTTAGAATGACGCCTGGTCAAACCCTTGGTAAGGTCGAACTCTTTAACCCTGCTCGAACCCTTGCATGTGCAGCTCAAGGTAATAGAGCTTGGCTTATTAGGCAGCGATTGCAATTGGGCAAGCTCAAAACGTTTGTTTGCACTCGCAGAAGTGTGCACAAAGCAAGGTTTAGGGCAGGGTAAACACGACTAAAAAGAGGTAACAATGTACGATGGCCCACAAGGGACATGCAAACTTAAATAAAAACTCGGTGCAAACATTAAATAAAAACTCGGTGCAAACTTAAATAAAAACTCAGTGCAAACTTAAATAAAAACTCGGTGCAAACTTAAATAAAAACTCGGTGCAAACTTAAATAAAAACTCGGTGCAAACTTAAATAAAAACTCGGTGCAAACTTAAATAAAAACTCGGTGCAAACTTAAATAAAAACTCGGTGCAAACATTAAATAAAAACTCGGTGCAAACATTAAATAAAAACTCGGTGCAAACATTAAATAAAAACTCGGTGCAAACTTAAATAAAAACTCGGTGCAAACTTAAATAAAAACTCGGTGCAAACATTAAAAAAACTTTTGGGTGCAAACATGCGCGCGCAGGCACAAACTGGCAAACAGTGGCGACATTATTGGCGACATTGCACATCAGCACATGTTTCTGAGTATTGTATTACTGCTTTGTGGAGGAAATGTTTTGCAGTCAATGCGGCTGTTCTTTACTTATTAATGCAAAATTTTGTCACGTTTGTGGTCAAGACTCTTCAGTCAACGAAAAGCCTTCTTCCAGTGTCGATTGTGATACAGGCCGCACAGTTATCCCAACATCAACAAATGCGACAACGCCAGCATCAACAAGTCAATCGCGGACACCAGTGTCCTTTAACGAATATCGTCAGCGTAAAGAGAAAGAAAGAAGCTCGAGATTCAAACCAAAAGCAAAGAAAGCGAAGATAGAAAAGAAGGGAAACGAGAAAACGCCCAGTGAAGTTAAGATAAATATTGCTCTAAAAAAACTTCGCGACAATGATTTAAAATTCGTTAGAGGAAGTTCATTGCCTCTTACAGTCTGCCCAACTATTGGTTCTACGGAATTGCTGAATAAAGCTGCCGAGAAAATCGTAAAATTTAACAGCGATTTAACGTTTGGAGCGTTTGGGTTTACTCTATTGTACCCAGATCGAACCAAAGTTATTAACCTACCTGGTAGTGAGGAACCCTTTACCCTGGAAAAATACAAGAAAGATATTGGAAAAGCATACACACGTTTGACGTTCTACATTTGCAAGACAGAAGATTATTTGGAATTTCTGTACAGGCCATCATACTGCAGTGACAGTGACCCTGACTTTGATATTATAGACAAGGTATTAAATAATTTATAATTTTAATACATATAATTTTTATACATTAACGGGATGGGATCACAGAGTACTTACATACAGAATTCTCACTTCAGGATAATTTAGCCCGTTTTAAGTCACCCCCCTGAAAATGTATTTGAAATTTAATGTTCCAGGGGGGTGAATGCCTCTTGTTAGGGCACTTGCAAGAACATGGTGTCAGTCTGGGACTGTGCACAAGCTAAAACTGCCAGCTATTTTGGTAAATTTTTACGACCTTTACGGTTTTCCCACAGAAGTGAGACTAGCTCTGTAAGTGAGGGATCTGTGATGGGATGGTGGGTTTTTGGCTAGTGGTTTATGGCATCGCTCAGCAGGTAACGTTACTGTTAATAAATTGCCAAACTCTGGCACAGGATGAAACTATACAGTTCATATGACAAATTTATAACAAACCTTCAGACGTTCAGTTGATACTTCAAGACGTTCAGTTGATATACTTCAAGACGTTCAGTTGATATTTCAAGCAAAGACCTTGTAAAGTTAACCTGAGTAATTTACTAGAACTTTATTCTGAATCCTACTATTAAAATTATCAACTTTCGAAACAAAAATTACTCAAATTACACACAATATACTTTTCTGTGTACTAATGTTTCCTATATTCTCTTTTACATGAAGTATTAAACATAAAGTAAACAAAAAATCATTAACATAAATTATAAAAGTATATAAAATGTCAAAACCTTTTCTACAGTACAGGCTATTTTTCTGGGAATTGGTATTGTTTTACTGTTTAGTACATAGCCCAATCGGGCATGACAGGAACTGGTGAATCCAGCATGTCAACTACTGGTGGACCCAGCATGACAACAATTGGAGAATCCAGCATGACACCAACTGGAAACCCCAGAATAACAGCAACTGGTGAATCCAATGTGACAGCGAGTGGTGAATCCAGAATGACAGCTACTGGTGAATCCAGCATGACAACAATTGGTGAATCCAGCATGACACCAACTGGAGACCCCAGTGTGACAGCAATTGGAGAATCCAGCATGACACTTGATAATGGTGAAATCAGCATGACAACATCTGGTGAATCCATCATGACAACATCTGGTGAATCCATCATGACAACAACTGGTGAATCCATCATGACAACAACTGGTGAATCCAGCATGACAACAACTGGTGAATCCAGCATGACAACAACTGGTGAATCCAGCATGCACACAACTGGAGAACCCCAAATTTTTGTAGTGGACGAAGACGTATCAGGATCAACAACTGAATGTAAGCCTGCAATATTAGCCCTTTTAGTTTAAGTGGCAATGTGCTCTGATATGCCCTACATTATTATTTACTTTGTGTTTTGAAATTTGCCACTGTTTTAACAATCACTGATCTTGGAAGTAGAGTGACTTTGCAATTAGGCACATGCAAATTGATCA